CTGCTGAACTGAAGAGACATAGTTTACAATTAGTGTGCCCTTGTAAGCAAACCTTGGCAGCAGAGACAGGATGAAGTTAGCTTCTTATGCAGGATAGGGCCAATGTTTTGGTAAATTAACCAGAAGAGAAGAAAAATAAGTGAACTTCTCAAAATGCAACATAGAAAATGTTTCTTCTTAGCAGTGCAATACACTGTTTTGTTTTCCAGGCAAAATTAAACGCAAATCCAAGTTGATGCATGAAGACCTCTGTTCTACCAAGAGGTTTTATTTCCATCAGCTTTCTCCATATGAGAAAAACCTGTATTTTTAGACCATAAACATCTGCAAAATGTGATCTACATATGAATGGGTCCCAGGGCAGTAACAAAGTCGCATGTTAAAATTGAGGAGATGTCCATGGAATTTAAAACGATACTCCTGTTATTTTGCAGCTTGTCGACCTGGGTTCTACAAAGCCTCTGCTGGCAACGTGAAGTGTGCCAAATGCCCACCTCACAGCTCTACCTATGAAGATGCGTCTCTGAACTGCAGGTGTGAAAAGAATTACTTTCGCTCTGAGAAAGACCCTCCATCCATGGCTTGCACCAGTGAGTAGCATCATTGTGCTCGGGGCTGTCATTCTTGCTCCTCCATCTATATCTCAGCAGCTTGCTTGCTTCCTCTCATGTCCCATTGCAGTCAGCCATCTACTGCCTCCCATGTCTTCTTACATGTTGGACAGGCTACCAAAAATTGGTGGGCTGGGTTTATGTCTTTCTATTTTCATTTTCTCCTTCTTGTTCTCTGTCAGACTCGAGAAGGAGAGCTAGGATTTTTAAATTGCTACCAATATTTTCAGCCCTCAGTCCTGAACTGCAGCCTGAGGGTACTGTCTGTGTATAAGAAAACACAGTCCTTGATAGTCTAGGTCTGTAGTCCGGTAAAATATTTCAGGAGACTCTACAGGAAATAACTAGAAGAGTTTGGTTATTTATGTTTTTGACTTTTGTATTTTTGTGCCCTTGTTACTCCCATCTTAGAGCACTACAGAAAATCTCATCCCTCTGATTTCCTGTTTCCTTTTATAGGACCACCATCTGCTCCAAGAAATGTTATCTCTAACATCAACGAGACGTCTGTTATCCTGGACTGGAGCTGGCCTCTTGACACTGGAGGTCGGAAAGATGTCACTTTCAACATCATTTGCAAAAAATGTGGAGGAAACATCAAGATGTGTGAGCCGTGTAGCGACAACGTGCGATTCTTACCCCGTCAGACTGGACTCACCAACACCACGGTGACAGTAGTGGACCTTCTGGCACACACCAATTACACTTTTGAGATTGATGCAGTCAATGGGGTATCTGACTTGAGTACACTTTCCAGACAATTTGCTGCTGTCAGCATCACAACTAATCAGGCTGGTGAGTCTCTTTCTGATTACCCTTTCTTTGTTCAAAACTACTGAGATGTATGTACCTTTGTTTTCTTT